GGAGGAGGGGGCGGTGGGAGGGCAACTCTCGCCTTGCACGATGTTTGCAGGAATAATGCCTGTTTGCTGACTCACATGCACACAGGCACCAAGGTCCTCGCAGGCACGCACGAGTACCTAAGGATGCGAGGTGTCGTGGCCCCTGTCCTGGCATCTGGCGCTCCCTGGCCCTTCCTATTTGCCTGGGGGCTCCTAATGATTAAAGCCCCTTCATTCATTTCTTGATTGCGCCTGCCTTCCCTCTCAGGCAGCCGGATGACGGCTCGAGGGCGGGTTGCAATCCCTGCAATTCAAAACGGCAGGGCTTCGAAACAGGGAAGGAGCGAGGAAGTAAAGAAAGCAAAAGCAACAGGCAGAGATACAGAAAAATAATAGTAATTGAGTGAGGAAGCAGCATCCAGCATTCAGCAAATAGGGCGAAAAAGCAATCGCTGTACTGTGACTCCCCCCCCCCGCCCCTTCTTTCAACAGGGCATATAGAGGAAGAGATCAAGTCAACTTTCCAAGGTGTGGCAGTTTTCACATCTCTCTGAGTTGGGGATCTTTTCTTCTGGATGTCTCTAAGTTCTCACCATGGGAATCTTCTACTGCAAAGTCCTTGCCTTCGAACAATGGAGTCTGCTAGTTCCAGATTCCGAGAGACGCCCTCAGAGGAGATCCTCTCAAGGCTTCTAGCTCAAATCTGCACAACTTTCCCTGGTCTTTGAGAAGAATGCAGGGGCTGCCCTTTAAAAAAAAAATAAAAGTGTCTTAGGTCAGGAGAAGAACTAAATTTGACTTCCCTTCACTTCCATTCAAGGGTAATAATGCAATTCCAATAGAGTGAAGAGCATTGCATGAACTTAATAGTTTCCCTCGTCTGTCATCTTAAATGCTGCACTTAATAACCAGTTTTGGAGGAGCACCCAAAGAATATTTCTGGAGGCAGATCCTACATCTGAGAGGCCACTGCCTATTTATTTGGTCTCTCTGCCTGGAGACGGTCACCCTTTCTTCCCAGAGAAGACAGAAAGCATTACTCCTCTTTCTGTACTTCTCATTGCTTGCATGCTTTAAAAAAAGTGGGAAATGTTATAGCTTTGCAAATATCCCGTGCAAAGATTTGATTTAAAGAGGAATCATCCCTTTGACTTGAATCTTAGCATCAAACTGTCCCATCAGTTTGATGGATGAAGCCAATTCCTTTGAATCAATTCAGAAAGGGTTGGGATCTGACTGGGACATTAGATGAACTTCTGAGCCTACGCTGACATGCATTTTCTGGATTTATTTGGAAGTTCAAAACCGCTTGATGACTTGAAGTGTACAGTAAATCCAAGTTGTTGGTTTTTTTCCAAATCGATAACTATAATAAAACTAACTCAACTAATTTAATTGGAAATGTGAATAAGACTGTGCCTGATTTGTATACTTGGGATACAGACAGCAATAGCAAGAAAGAGGATCCACAGAGATCCCAAATGTCTATGATCTCCTGAGTTTCCCTTTCGTTACGGGGCTGAGCAGACACTCAACTACCTAATGTGTGTTAGGCCCAGCTGAGGAACCCCTCCAATGGCTTCTTGATTTTTTTTCCTGATGTTATGTGATGCTTCCCAGAAGTTTGACTGGAACCCATAATTTGCTCATTTGGGTCCTCCTTAGCATACAGAAAGAGCAGACAGCAGGAAAACCTTCCATTCCCAACGTCTTCTCATTTGCGCTCAAATCCCTTTAAAATGGCTTTTTAAGGCAACAAAGATGGCTGTCCAATGAGGCATGTGCAAAGACATTTGAGTTAAACATAAAATCGCAGCTGGACAGGCTCATCCAGTGCAGTGCACAATGGCTGGCCATGCGATGGATCACACCGAGGGCAACATGCATACATTTCCTGCTCACAGCCCATGATGGTAGTTCCTTACATCCATGGTGGCTATCAAAGCATCAAAACAGCCAACCAGCCTAGGGACTCGCCTGAAGGGACTCTGATCCAAAACTGCTGCTTTGCCACATTCCTCAACATTTGGCTCCCTGGCTTAATTTAGGTTTTTGCTTCCGTTCTTGCCATGAAGTTTTGAATGTCTGGATTTTGAGGGAGGGCTCTAGAAAAGAAGGAAACATCTAACCCTAACCCTTGCAGTATAACTCTCCCTGATGCTCTCTGGGAGGTGGGAGGCCGGAGAGTCACCTCACCTGACTTGCCTTTCTTTTCCTGATCAGGCACAGATTTCTCTGCCTTTTCATGTTTGTCGGTGGCGAATGTAGGTAAAGAGTGACAAAAATGCCTGTTGTCAAAGTCCAACTCCATGGCAGAGGAACTGAGGAAAATATTCCAGATCTAAGTAGCTCAGCTAGAGTTAATGGGGCCCAGAGCAAGTTGGCTTCCAAGACCCCACACGTACATTTTAGGAAGTTGCTTACACAGCATCCTTAACCAGGTCAGTTAAAAACTTCATAGCTGCTTTTGCAAACAATGCTCATGATTCGTTAGTTTTAATTATTCTGTGTGTGTGTGTGTGTGTGTGTGTGTGAGGGGCTTAGAACATTGTGCAAAACCAGCCCATTTGGTTAACTTACACGTCCATATCTTGTGCATGTAGAAAATGGTTTAATTTGTAGCAAGGGTGTGGTGTGAATGCACCATCTGCCTGCAGTGTATGTCGTTTCTCGCTAGCTCCATCCTCTTCCGAAGGGGAACAAGAGCAGAGAGAGAAAGAGAGAGACAGAGGAGAAGACAAGATCTCATTTGATGGCTTTGAAAATTAAAAGATTTACGTGATGCTGCATTTGGGGGTCCCTCCGAGCAGTGGGATGCTGATTGTGTAAGGTTGAGCAGGTGCATCGGAGGAACATTTCACATGCTGTGCGTTCAGCCAGACGGCAGTTCTCAGCCAGCTCCCTTTCAAGTTGCAAAGAAGATTGCCACAGAATCTTATCTCAGCTTCTGTTCAGAAGTTGCAATTGATTTTGCTCTTCTCCATGAGGCTCAAGTTGAGACGAGGCCAGGGGGACGTGACATGATTTCATGGGGCTGGGTGGCTATCTGGGTGACTGACAGATGTAACAAGTTGGGGATTACACATCCTTTCTGATTGTTACAATCCCTGTAGATCTATTCTTTAGGAAGTAGCTGTTGGCATGCCGGCTGTGAATCCAGGTGAGTCTTCTTCATCGTTGGTCAGGAGAGCTTTCTGGAGTCCCTTGAGGAAGGCAGAGAGGTTCGCTGGTCAGATATGGAGGGGAACGTGTTGGGACCCTGCTCTCATCTTTTAAAGACTTTCGTTTCCAGGAGCATCTACAGCAAGAACGCACAGCCTGAACCCATAGAATTCTATGTGGCTTTGAAAGCTGGGGGTGCTTTACATGCATCCCTTAGACATGTACAAAAACGAAAAGAAGACCTAGATTACAATCCAGAACCTTCTTTGGAAGTTGGCCCACTTGCTCAGGAAAAAAAACAAAACTGGAGTGGGTGAAGAGCCTCCAGATGGATTGGCCCAGAAGGGTCGGTGGGGAGCAAGC